CTGTTTCAGAAATGCTGGAGACAATGCACGAGAATGATCTATTTGATATGTTTCCAGAATTTTCTAATGTGGTACATATCCTTGCAGTGATACCTGCTGCATCGTGTTCTGCAGAACGATCATTCGGTGCGTTGCGCAGATTAAAAACTTACCTTCATGGGGCAAAAACTTGTCAGTTACATCGCACTTATTAACATTGAAAGGGCATATGCCAACTCTGTAGTCAACAATGACATGGATCGTATCATTAATATCTTCGGCCGTCGAAATGGCAGAGACAGCTATTTCTTTTAACGTGTTTTATGAGCTCATATGATAGAATCATACGAAAGAATATTTTCACTTCATCTGTAGGTCTATGTTAGTGCACCGTTAGTGACCCTTGTTTCTTCTCGGCTCAGTTTAGTAAATACTTGGACAACTTGAGCGAATTTTTTTGGGCAAATGGCTCAAAGCACCCCCTGGCAAAAACTTGCCCGTGCGCCCATGTGTTCAAGGACGAAGACATGGCGTTGATTGCTTCTGTGGTAAGCTTGGTGTGGGCTTTCATCTCCTCCAAACATTGAAAAGTCTCTTTGAACAACGACGCAAATCGTTCAGAATACGTTTTGAACTCCTCTACCGCCTTTTCTAGTTTTTCCTGCATTTTTGTAGCTCAGATCTATGAAAATAATGAAGTTAAAGTTCTCACTTAGAGTCTACCGAATGTTTTCTATAGCTTACGCCTCACAAACTACTTGTCACGCCGTGACAATAGGTGTGAGGCATTTTTCCACGTAAAGTCTGCTAAGTGACCCCTATAAACGACCTTTACGGCCTTGTTTAGCATTATTTGTCCTTGCCTGCGAACAACAGACATTTTGCCTGTCGCTCGAATGAAACAACGGGCAACATTGACTTGGTGACGTTTTAAACCAGAACATGCAAGAAAAGCTAGAGAGGGCCGTGGAAGAGTTCAGAGTGTATTATGAACGAGCTTCGTCGTTGTTCCAAGAGACCGTTCAGTGCTTGGAGGAGATGAAAGCCGAAGCGAAGCTTAGCGAAGACGCCATTACTACTTTAGCTTCGTCCTTGAACATCGAAGAGATGAAAGAAGCCCTGAAGAGTAGGACCTCGGTAGTTTTTATTGGGAATCGAAACTGTGGAAAAAGCTCGATTTTGAACGAAGTTCTCGGCGGATCCTACTTACCAGTCCACGAGAACCCATGTACTTCCCGAATAGTCAAGATTAGTCACTCGATGCGTGAAAATACAATCAGGGTCGTTGACAAAGCAGGAGAAGAAGTTCAACCTCCCGTTACATTCACAAGGAAAGTTCCCAAGAAATATGTGGTGGTTTGTGATGATAGTAGAGAGCAATCAGAACGGCTGAAGTACATCGTTGAAATTGCCTTGAATCACCCCATATTGAAAAGTGGCATCGAATTAATCGACTCCCCGGGAAGGAATGAGAATGATGCTCTAGACGATGTGGTGGACGAATTCTTTGAAAAAGGCACTACACCTCTCGTCGTTTATGTCATCGATGGGAATGAGCAACTAAGGCCATCGGTAGGTATCAAGTGTTATCTGTATATTGATTTGCCATTTGCGAATTCGTTACTGAAATGTTCAAACGGACTAAAAACACTAAAGTGTTGTCTCCCCCTGTTGAAACGTGATAATAACTGACTTTTGATTATGAAGCAGTCTTAGCCGTTGCAAGTGGGTAACCCGAAAACACTGACCCCCGGTCCGCGGACCCTTACTGCGGACCGGGTCCGCGGACTACTTATGGACCGCTCCACAGACTACCCCTACGGACCCCCTCTACGGACCACCCCCGAAATAGAATAAAAATAAGAAACAAATATTTTACTTACGGGTTGTCTAATAGATTAGTCGTGTCGGCAAAATTTCGAACGTCAGTGTGCAAATGTAACATTCTTGGGTTCAGGCTCGAACACAAGTTATATCATTACACATTGCCATTTCCTTTGCTGTGGCCATACAGTATATGACAGACCAGGAAGCCTCCAAGAAGCCTCCGGGAAGCCTCTGGGAAGCGTCGAAATTTGTGCTCTTTCCCCTCTGCCATTTTTTTCAGCCCATTCTCGCGCGGATTCGTGAACTCGTTCCAGGCTTAATAATTTGCTCAGCGGAATTACAGATACGAACAATCTTAAACAACCTAAAAACACACCTACCATAGCCCGATTGAGCCACGAATGAAAGTTAATAACTTTCCTTCTTTTTGTCATCGGCATCTCCTTACGCTGAAAACAGCTTTAAGGCATTTTTTTTTGGGGAGGGGGAGGGGGGGTTAATTACATTTGCACAGTGTAACACTCGAAATTTCGCCGATATGAGTATTCTATTAGACAACACATTAGTGAAATATTTATTTCTTATTTTTACACTATTTTGGGGGGTTCCGTAGAGGGGGTCCGTAAGGGTAAGCCCGTGGACCGGTCCATGGGTAATCCACGGACCCGGTCCATAGTGGGGGTCCGCGGACCGGGGGTCAGTGTTTTCGGGTTACCCGTTGCAAGTTCATTGATGTTGATTGAAATAACGGTTAAATGTGTTAAGGTGGCTTACTGCAGTTTGATGGATTAAAACAGCACAATTTCTAACTCTTTTGAAAAATGTTCCAAGATGTTTTTGCTTTCTCTATTTACTGTTTACTTAAGTCTTTTACTATTCTATATGAAACTTGAACAATTAAACGTCAACAAATGGCCAAAATGAACGACCGAGTACCTAAGGAGAGATTGGGCACTAGTGGGTTAAATCACGTTTTCTCAAAATCTACCAGGATGACCACCTCAAAATTTCAGGAATAAGAAATTGGCTCTGTTTTAACATTCATGCAAAGTAAAATAAAAATCTGCAAGACAGATTTTTCGTAAACTAAGAAAATGTGAAAGCAAAAATAGCTCAAAATCTTGTGCCTGTGCCTTTGCTTGTAGCTGTGCCTGTACTCGTGCCTGTGCCTGTGCCTTTGCTTGTGCCTGTGATCTCGCTTGTACCCTTGCCTTTGCCTTTGCTTGTACCGGTGCCTTTGCCTTTTCTTGTGCCCGTGCCTTTCCCCTTGCTTGTACTTGTGCCTGGGCCTTTGCTTGTGCCTGTGCTTTTGCTTGTGCCTGTGCTTGTGCCCGTGCCTTTGCTTGTACCTGTGCCTGTGCTTGTGCCTGTGCCTGTGCCTGTACCTTTCCTTGTGCCTGCGCCTGTGCCTGTGCCTTTGTTTGTACCTGTGCCTGTGCCTGTGCCTTTGTTTGTACCTGTGCCTGTGCCTTTGCTTGTGCCTGTGATCATGCTTGTACCCGTGATTTTGCCTTTGCTTGTGACTGTGCCTGTGCCTTTGCTTGTGCCTGTGATCATGCTTGTACCCGTGATTTTGCCTTTGCTTGTGCCTGTGTTTTTGCTTGTACCTGTGCCTGTGCTCGTGGTTGTACCTGTGCCTGTGCATGTGTCCGTGCCTATGCCTTTGCTTGTGCCTCTGCTTCTGCATGTGCATGTGTCCGTGCCTGGGAAGATGCCTTTTCTTGTGCTTGTGGCTGTGCCTGTACCTTTGCTCTTGCCTGAGCATGTGTTCATGCCTTTTCCTGGGCATGTGGGCGTGTGCCTGTGTCACGTGATATGCCTGTGCTTGTGTCTGTGACTTTGTCAATATCCCTATGCTTGTAACTTTGCCTAAGCCTGTTACACTTCTGTTACACCTCTTCTTGTCCCTCCGCTGTACTGTTGAAACCGTTAAATAATTACTAGCTCCTCATACTCTACACTTAACTGCACGCCCTTCTCCCACATTTTTTAACCGGAGGAGCATCAACTCAGACTAAATAGCCTCTAAATCTTGTGAAAGGAAAACTACCCAAATTCAGCCGTTTAAGCCAGTAATTTTTATTTGATGTTGAGTTCATTTGATTGATCGTAGGATCTCGACACAATTCGCTTCCTTCAAGACAAACACCCACAGTTGTCATTCATGTTCGTGTGTAACAAGGTAGACACATCGGCTAGCGCGCAGACATTCGACGCTCGAAGCTCCGACGAACTTGATTCCGACGAAGAGGAAACAGAGAGGGGAGTTGACAAGCAGAAAATTGTCTTTGCCCAACTACAACGCCACGGATTGATAGCGGAGAGTGAATCCTATGACAGTTGTTCTTCGTTTTATGGAATATCTGCGCAAAACGTCCGTGAGGACCGTAGGAAGAAAACCTTTAGCAGAGCAACTGAGCTATTTAGCAAATTTGAAGAGGGTTTGTTGAGTGTCTTAGAGGAAACCGTCAAAAGGCAAGCCAAGCAAGTGGTAAGCAAGCTCATCTTTCTGCAAACGAGTCTGGTCCGTGCAATGGGAAGAACGAGGCGAGTCCTCCCCCACATGCTTGGAAGTCCGTTAGAATTTGACACTGCTAAAAGTGTCGAAAAATCTTTATATGATTCGTTGACCTCAACCATCGGAAGCGAAGAAAACATTGGAAGGGTGGTAAATTGCATTTTACTAAATCTTGAGGAAAAATTCCTCCGCGAAGCTGTTCATTTCCACACAACAGAACAAGTTTCTCCGGCGCACGAGTTGGAAGCACGCATGAATTGCTTGCTTCTCTTGAAAGAAAATTCCAAGTATCATCGCAGGCTTACCTGGAATAAGGAAGACGTACCTTTCCTTCGATTCCTGATCGTTTTGAGAGGGTTGGTCCTGGACAGAACTTTCAATGATTTAAAACGGGGTTTTGGAGGGTTTGTTGACAGAGCAAAAGAGGTCGTTGAGGTACATTCAAGAAAGATTATCAATCCACTACTTCGGCATGCGTTCGGGGTAGCTTATGGATCAGGCCTACCAAAAACGGAGAGCAGTTCTTTACCAAACAAACCTTCTCTAGAGTTGCCTGTACTTCTGACACCCGTGGTGAGCAAAGCGTTAAGAAAGGTGCTGTCAGAGATTTTGACTGAAGGGTTACTTCACGCGATGGAACGCAAATCCTCAAACGCCAATGATTTCAAAATGGCAGATACGCAAAGTCGAAGAAAAATCCTTGAGTTAATTGTTTCTAAATTCAGCAGTCAGCGATCGCGAATCACGCGTGCTATTTGTGTTGCCTCCAAAGGTCTCCTTGATACCGTACACAAAGCTTTCTTGAAGGTCATGGATGACCTCACTGGCCTAAATGACTTAGTGTCCAACAACTGGTCACGGCAATTGGAAGAAATGGCAGCCCTGTACATCCCCTCTGTGAGGTATCTTGCCGTTCAAGGGTTCGCTCTGCAGTTCCTGCTAAACAACGGACCACTGATCCTCGGTCCAGAAATGAAATCTACTAAATCCACTGCCGTCTGCGCCCAAACATCCGGTTCCACCTTCTCCTCCTCGATGACCTTCACAACAAACTCTCCAGCAGATACTTCACCTGGCCATCCTGTGGAGCCATGAATCGTTCCGTGCTTTGTAGGTTTGATTGTTGGACCCAGGGTCAGTGGTCCGTTGTTTAGCAGGAACTGTAGGGCGAACCCTTGAACTACAAGATGCCTGACGGTAGGGATGTACAGGGCTGCCATTTCTTCCAACTGGTGAGCCGAGGTGTTCGATATGACTTCGTTAACGACTGTTAGACTATCTAAGATCTTAGAGAAAACCGTGTGTGCCTCTTCAAGGCGACCTTGTAGGGCAACACTAATTGAGTGGGTGATGCGTTGACTGCTGAATTTGGAAAGAATTAACTCGAGGACTTTTTTCCTAGTTGGCTTATCAGCTACATTGAAATCGGTGTTTGAAGATTTCCATTCCATTGCATGAGCTAACCCTTCAATCAAAACCTCTGACAGTACCCGTCTTAGCACTTTGCTCACCAGGCTTGTCAAATGTAAAGAAAGCTCTTCTGGAGATTGGTCTTGCAAAGTACTCGTCTTCGCCTTTGCTCCATATGCTAAAGAGAGGGCATATCTAAGTTGTGGATTGAGAATGTTCCTTGAGTGCAGCTCGACGTCCTTTTTCCCCTTTAAAAACTCTTCAAAAGTACGTTTGAAATCATTAAATATTCTGTCTAGAATAACCCCTTTCATGGCGATTAGGAATCGAAGGAAAGGAGCGTCATCCTTATTCCAATCAAGCGGAAAATGACACTTTGGCCGAGTCGCGTTTACACAGAGAAGCAAATACAAGTGACTCAGACGTTCCTCCAACTCCTGCAAACTTGCAATCAATGGAATGACCTCCGCTGGGGCTTGCATTGTTGCATTGAACCGAAGTGCTTCTGGCATGACCTTCTCCTGAAGACTGAGTAAACTGGATGACACCAGCTCTCCTACATTTTCTTCGCTTGCGATGTTTGAGGTTAATGTGGTATATAAAGATCTCTCAACGCTTTAGTAGTGTCAAATTCCAATTGACTTCCAAAGATACTGGGGAGGTTCTGCTTTGTTCTGTCCATGGAATGAACGAGACTCATCTGCAGGAAAATGAGCTTGTTCACCACTTGCTTAGCCTGCCTTTTGATGGTTTCTTCAAGAACACCCAACAAGCCATCTTCAAATTTGCTAAATATCACGGACGCTGAGCTAAAGGTTTTCTTCCTTCGGTCGTCACGGACGTTTTGCGCAGATATTCCATAAAACGAAGAACAACTGTCATAGGATTCACTGACCGCTATCAGTCTGTGGTGTTGTAGTTGGGCAAAGACAATTTTCTGCTTGTCAACTTCCCTCTCTGTTTCCTCTTCATCGGAACCAAGTTCGTCGGAGCTTCGAGCGTCGAATGTCTGGGCGCCAGCCGATGTGTCTACCTTGTTACACACGAACATGAATGACAATTCTGGGTGTTTGTCTTGAAGGAAACGAATCGTGTCGAGATCCTACAATCAACCAAATACTTCAGGATTAAGCTCTCAAATTAAATGCAAAAGAATAAAAGAAAGAAAATGAGATGGTAGGTTGACATCTAGGAATCAGAACTGAACCAAATAAACTGATCGACCTGTATGTTTCAAGGATTACTGCGGCTCTTTGTGTTTCCCCTTGATCTCTTTTAATAAAGAAGGGTGGGAGAATCTCTTCAGGAGCTTTGCAGTGTACTGTGTTAGTATTTTTAAATGATTAAAATATTTAAAAAACTTGAAATTGCTTTGGTTGGGAGCAGGGGTCAAAAGGAATATTTTTCGACGGGAGACTTAATTAATTTGAGCATTCTGCCTATATTGATTAGTACATTAATCGGCTATTGATTCTGTACACTCATACGACATTTCAAGTTTGTCCGATAAATCGTCAGGCCTCCATCCCTCCCAGAGGGAGAAACCTCTCTCTCTCGTCACCGTTCTTCTCGCGGCCACCGAAAAACTCCACCGAAACAGGCTAAATCCATAATCTTCTCTGTCTGCCAGCTGTGTTTACAGCATTTACTACGATTGCTTTGTGATTAACAATGTTGGACATACTTTTACCCTTTACTATCGATAAGATAGTTGTCACACTTCCGGGTTAGATATCCTGAATATAAGGGAGGGAGGGTATGATCGCAGGTTAGTTCTATCGTGACTGTTTTGTCGCAGTTTTTAAAACATCAATAGGTAACTTATAACGGTCCAGAAAACATGATTATAAAGTGCGCGATTAAAGTCAGTTATTATCACGCTGTAACAGATGGGTGCCTCAGTAACATAGAGTCTGTTCTTTATTAACTCCGTCACAAAATAACAACTAAAACATGGGTTATTAGAAACATCCGCGATTAGGTAGCTATGGCAAATCAACATCTAAACCCATACTTGATACTCACCGATTGCCTCAGTTGCTCGTTCCCATCGATGACATACACGACGAGAGGTGTAGTGCCTTTTTCAAAGAATTTGTTCACCACATCGTCTAGAGCATCATTCTCATTCCTTCCCGGGGAGTCGATTAATTCAATGCCGCTTTTCAAAAGGGGATGATTCAAGGAAATTTCAACGATACACTTCAGCTGCTCTGATTGCTCTCTGCTATCATCACAAACCACTACATGTTCCTTAGGAACTCTCCTTGTGAACGTAACCATAGGTTGAACTTCTTCTCCTGCTTTGTCAACGACCCTGATTGTATTTTCACCCATCGAGTGACTGATCTTGACTATTCGGGAAGTACATGGTGTCTCGTGGACTGGTAGGTAGGATCCGCCGAGGAGTTCGTTTAGAACCGCGCTTTTTCCACAATTTCGATTACCAATAAAAACTACCGACGGTCTTTTCTTTAATACTTGTTCGATTTCGTCCATGTTCAAGGATGAAGACATGGCGTTGATTGCTTCTGTGTTAAGCTTGGTGTGGGCTTTCATATCCTCCAAACATTGAACAGTCTCTTTGAACAACGACGCAGATCGTTCAGAATACTCTTTGAACTCCTCTACTGCCTTTTCTAGCTTTTCTTGCATTTTTGTAGCTCCAATCTTTGAAAATAACGAAGTTAAAGTTCCCACTGAGAGTCTACCGAACGTCTTGTATAGCTCACGCCTCACAAACCACTTGTCACGCCGTGACAATAGGTGTGAGGCATTTTTCCACGTAACGTGATCCCTATAAACGACCTTTACGGCCTTGTAATAAGTGGCCGGGTATTCTGGAGTTTAGCCCGGCCTTGTTTAGCACTATTTCTCCGTGCCCACGAACAACAGACATTTAGTCTGTCGTTCGAATAAAACAACGGGCAACATCGACTTGGTGACTTTTTTAGATTTAAACCAGAACATGCAAGAAAAGCTAGAGAAGGCCGTAAAGGAGTTCAGAGTGTATTCTGAACGAGCTTCGTCGTTGTTCCAAGAGACCGTTCAGTGTTTGGAGGAGATGAAAACCGAAGTCAAGCTTAGCGAGGACGCCATTACTGCTTTAACTTCATCCTTGAACATGGAAGAGATGAAAGAAGCTCTGAGGAGCAAGACCTCGGTAGTTTTCATTGGTAATCGAAATTGTGGAAAAAGCTCGATTTTGAACGAAGTTCTCGGCGGATCCTACTTACCAGTCCACGAGAACCCATGTACTTCCCGAATAGCCAAGATCAGTCACTCGATGGGTGAAAATACAGTTAAGGTCGTTGACAAAGCAGGAGAAGAAATTCAACCTGTGGTTACGTTCAGAAGGAGAGTTCCCAAGGAATATGTGGTGGTTTGTGATGATAGTAGAGAGCAATCAGAACAGCTGAAGTACATCGTTGAAATTTCCTTGAATCACGCCTTATTGAAAAGCGGCATCGAATTAATCGACTCCCCGGGAAAGAATGAGAATGATGCTCTAGACGATGTGGTGGACAAATTCTTTGAAAAAGGCACTACACCTCTCGTCATGTATGTCATCGATGGGAATGAGCAACTGAGGCCATCGGTGGGTATCGAGTGTTATCCGTCTATTGATTTGCCAATGAAATGTTTGTTCATACGGACTAAAAACATGAAAGTGTTGTCTCCCCCTGATGAAACGTGATAAAAGCTGACTTTTAATCATGGAGCGGTCTTGACCATTGCAATTTCATTGATGTTGACTGAAACAACGGTTAATTAATGTGGAAAAAATCCTTGTAGAGCCCCCAGACTTCCAGGATGTCGTTACCCGGAAGTGTTACGTTTCAAGTCCAGCGGCATAACGCATGCACGATACTTCTGTAGTTCGTGATGCCCATGGCCATATGACTATGGTTTATTTTAAGCCGATTTACGCTCGAAAAGGGGAATTTTATTAACAATTATTATGAAATATGCTAAGGGGTTCTCTCATTAATTATGCTTGTACTTTCTCACCCCGCATATCTCTCAAGTTTACGCCTTTTCTTGGCTTTTTGTCTGTCTTTTCTTGTGCCCGTGCTCATGCTTGTGCCTGTGCAGGCATCCTTGCCGTGCCTATGCTTGTGCTTTTGTTTGTGCTTGTCCCTGTGCCTCTGCCTGAGCCTCACATGTGCCTGTGGTGGTGCTTTGGTTGTGCTTTTGCCTATGCCTCTGCTTGTGTCTGTACCTCTGCATGTATAAGTGCCTGGGCATATGCCTGTGTTTGTGCCTCTGCCTGCGTATGTTCCTATGCTGGTGGCTGGTGCCTGTGCTCATACTTGTATCTGAGCCTTTGCTTGTGCCTGTGCATGTTCCTATGCCTTTGCGGCTGTGCATGTGTGCATGCCTGTTCCTTGGCATGTGCCTGTGTATGTGTCTGTGCTTGTGTCTGTGACTTTGCCAATCAGCCTGTGCTTGTGACTTTTCCTAAGCTGTTACACTTTTGTTACACCTCTTCTTGTTCCTCCGTACTGTTCAAACCGATAAATATTAACTAGTCCCTCATACTCTACACTAAACTGCATGCCCTTCTGCCATCAGTTTTTAACTGGAGGCAGCATCAACTCGGATTAATGGTCTCTAAATCTTGTGAAAGGAAAACTACCTAAATTCACCCGCTTAAACTAATAATTTTAATTTGATGCTGAGTTCATTCGATTGATCGTAGGATCTCGACACAATTCGATTCCTTCAAGACAAACACCCGCAGTTGTCATTCACGTTCATGTGCAACAAGGTAGACACATCGGCTGGCGCCCAGTCATTCGACGCTCGAAGCTCCGATGAACTTGATTCCGATGAAGAGGAAACAGAGAGGGACGTTGACAAGCAGAAAATTGTTTTTGCCCAACTACAACACCACGGACTGATAGCGGAGAGTGAATCCTATGACAGTTGTTCTTTGTTTTATGGAATATCTGCACAAAACGTCTGTGAAGACCGAAGAAAGAAAACCTTTAGCAGAGCAACTGAGCTATTTAGCAAATTTGAAGAAGGTTTGTTGGGTGTCTTAGTGGAAACTGTCAAAACGCAAGCCAAGCAAGTGGTGAACAAGCTCATTTTTCTGCAAATGAATCTCGTCCATGCAATGGGAAGAAGAAGGCGAGTCCTCCTCCACAAGCTTGGAAGTCCATTGGAATTTGACACCACTAAAAGTGTTGAAAAGTCTTTATATATTTCATTGACCTCAACCATTGGAAGCGAAGAAAAAATTGGAATGGTTGTAAATTGCAATTTACTAAATCTTCAGGAAAAATTCATCCGTGAGGCTGTTCATTTTCACACAACAGAACAAGTTTCTCCAATGGATGAGTTGGAAGAAGGTATGAATTACTTACTTCTCTTGAAAGAAAATTTCAAGTATCATCGCAGGCTTACCTGGAATAAGGAAGACGTGCCTTTCCTTCGATTCCTAATCATTTTGATAGGGTTGGTCCAAGATAGAACCTTCAATAATTTAAAACGGGGTTTTGGAGGCTTTGTTGACAGAGCAAAAGAAGTCATTGAGGTACATTCAAGAAACATTATCAATCCACGCCTTCGACATGCATTCGGGGTAGCCTATGGATCAGGCCTACCAAAAACAGAGTGCAGTTCTTTACCAAACAAACCTTCTCCAGAGTTGCCTATACTTCTGACATTCGTGGTGAGCAAAGCGTTAAGAAAGGAACTGTCAGAGATTATGATTGAAGGGTTACTTCACACCATGGAATGGAAATCTCTAAATGTCAATGATTTCAATATGGCAGATACGCAATGTCGAAGAAAAATCCTTGAGTTAATTATTTCCAAATTCAGCAGTCAGCGAATCACGCATGCCATCTGTGTTGCCTGTAAAGGTCTACTTGATGCGGTACACAAAGATTTCTTGAAGGTCGTGGATGGCCTCACTGACCTAAATGACTTGGTGTCTAACAACTGGTCACGGCAATTGGAAGAAATGGCAGCCCTTTACATCCCTACCGTCAGGCATCTTGCTGTTCAAGGGTTCACTCTGCAGTTCCTGCTAAACAACGGACCACTAAGCCTCGGTCCAGAAATGAAATCTACTAAACACGGAACGATTCGTGGCTGGACAGGATGGACAGGTGAAGTATCCACTAGAGAGTTTGTAGTGAAGGTGATCAAAGAGGAGAAGGTGGAACCAGATGTTTGGGCGCAGACAGCTGTGGATTTGATCAACTCCATGTAAGTTTCAGCAGAAATCTTGTACATCCCCCTAAATATATTCCTTATTAAACAGTCGAATGAATGAAAATAGGAGTGAATGAAGGAGCGAACCAATGAACGAATGAAAGGAGAGAAAGAACGCACGAGCCATCGAACGAGAGTACTCTGGGGACGAGACTCCCATATGAAAAGGTCGGGGAATCTCGTCGGAAAATTTAAATTCAATCCCTAAAGGAGACCAATCTGGGTGTGGCTCGAACTTTATCTGTCCCCCAAAAGATACCACGTTGAACGGAAATGACAGCGTTTTTATTGTTTCTTCGAATGCACTCTAAAAGATACTTTCACGACCAGAAATAGCTGTGTTTCGTCCTAAACACCCTAAGTAAGACAGCAATCAGTGATTTACACCCCTAAGCGAGACGACGAGCATTCCCGATCTTTTCATAAGCGAAATCCACTACCCCCTGCACAAACAAAAGAACCTAGCATCGAACGAGCCAACGTACAAACTCACGAACAGACAAATGATGGTACACATATCACAGTTGTCTCATGGTGGCTTTACATTTATTTATGAGAGGGAGAACCATGTTCTGGAACTGAAACAAAACGTGACACAAAATCCCAGATTTTACTTCAGGCGACAGAAGTTTAAGTAGGAATCAAGGGTTAGCAAAAAGAAGAGTCGGCTCTCTTTAGCAATAGACTTGTACTCTTTTCCTTTTCCAGAACACGTTCTATACGCTTTTAGTAAACAACATTCGTTTGAACTAACGTATATGCGTTGCATTTCACCCGCTTTATGAATGCAGGAAAATACAAGCAAACATTGGCAAAGCCCATCCCAACCTTCTTTTTGTTCATGGTTGGCTAATTCCTGAACCTGGCGTTCTTCATGTTGTGATGGAAAAGGCAGAATTAGACGTGACAACGGCACTCCAGCAGGGTTTGCTTTCTCTTCAGACCCGCCTGAAGATAGCTGGGGATGTGGCTAACGGGCTGAAGGCAATACACGCAGCACATTACATCCATCAAGATATCAAAGCGGATTCCATATTGGTGAGCGGTCAAGGAACTACATGTAACAAATGCACGTTTTCTCAAAACGATCCGAATACGGGAATCTAATAGAACTTCGTTTAAAAGCCTCAAAAGAGGGAGAATTTTCATTTTGTTCTATAAATTTAGACCAAATTCACGATAGCCACGAATGGTTTTCAGCAAATTTAGACTATTCTGGCTTTCCAGCTGGTTATTTTGATCTCGTCTGTTTTCAGCGCGTAACAAACAGCTGACTATAAATTACAGCTATATATTGTAGCTTAGAACCACTTAGAAGAAAATTTCCCCGTCAAAATTTTACAATTAACTTTACTAAGTAATACAAAGAGTTTGATAGGAAACACGTATTAAAATGGCTCAAAATATAAGCCTTATAAATGATGACGAAAAGAAGCAACGAATTATTTACCGAACATCCGAAAACCGATGCAGTCGATACAGATTTGTTCGGGGAGTGAAATTAAAACAGAGTTTGGCCCTAATTTTAGCCTTAGCAATTCGGACACTTTTCGCTTTTGAGCTCGGTTTTTGCAGCTCGACTTATGAGCAAGTCTACTTTCATTTGGACAAGCATTCCAGCAGGACCAAGCTTTCAATGATTTCATTCCAGCACAATGAAACGGCAAACCTCCCGAAGACCAATCCAATCTCTTATAATGGTGACAGCTGCGTGCAAAATCGTAGACGAGTGCACCACAACCTTGTGCACGGCAACTCCACAAATAATTCCAATCTAAAATATAGACGGCTGTAACAGGAGATTTACGAGGGATGATCGGTAGACCGTCTCGCTCGCGCCTTCATCGCATGTTTCATTCAATGCAAAAAGTGAACACCGCGCCCTAAATTTCCTCGCCGTTTTTACTGACAGTACCCTCATTTAGATCACACTGAAATGTCCCCATCATTCAGTCGATTTATAATAATAAATTATAATTTTAATCTGGAATAATTGTGATTATTTAGAAAATCAATGAAATAATACTGATAATCGTATATAATTTCATCATAAGGTTGTCAGTGATAGGTTATTCTTAGTGCATCTCTCATTATCTGTACATGTGTTTCCTTAAAAAAGAGTCAAAAAACATTGCCGGGAAATATCTCAACTTTGGTAAAAATCAATACTATTGACCTGTTACTAGAGTCCAGCTGTATTGAGAGAGCTTTTTGTTGTTAGTTTTGATTTGCTGCCTTTATCTCAATAGCTTATGAGAGATGGTACAGCCAAAATAAATATGGCCAAACCCGAAAAGCCATTCGAGCGAACACGACAAGGAACTCCATTCCACATATCTTTGGAGATGCACAAAAACCACAGCAAAGGTCAAGGAAGTGATTGCTCTTACGACGTCTATGCCTTTGGAGTCCTGCTGTGGGTGCTTTGCGAGGGATCTGGGAACAGGCGTCCACAGGCCTATGATAAATACAGTACAATAGCAGCCATGAAGCTGGCAGTAGAAAAGGAGATATACCCTGAACGGCCACTGAAAGCCACTGAAGCCTGCTGGGAATTAATGACAAAGTGTTGGCATCAGAGATGTGTCTTAACAGCAAATGACCTGTGTCGAGAGATGGAATACATTATTCTTTCCATTCAGTGAGAAAATGAAATCATTTCCTGACAATTTAGTGGTAAAGCTGATGCATAGCAACAGTTTTTTCTTTTGTTTACAAATTCATCAGTTTGTCTATTGATATGATCCTGTTAGGCTTTGGGAGATACTGTAAGGGCCTGTTTAAACAGAGATAAGTTGTCCTGTACTCCTCCATAGTTAACCATCCAATGCGAGTTAAAGTGGACTATTCACATGAGAGATCATCAAGTTGACTTAGGTGCCTGAGTGGAGAGTCATTTGCTTTGACACTAGGGTGACCTGTAGGCCCTGGGAACCAACATTTCCCCATGCTAACACTAAAGCTATTTCCACCCACAAGGGCAAATTGTGACACACTGAGCAAGTACAAAACAGAGAGAGCTTATTTCTTATCCCCATAAAGAGAGAAAGGAAACCCTTCATTCACCAGGAACAACTTTTTTCCACTGTAAACAGGCCCTAAGAATGTAAGATAGGAATGAAGAATCCTCCATTGAGAAGTGAACATTGAATGCAGTTTACGACAAGTGACAAAAATAAGCTGTATTGGCAACTGAGTTCACATTGGCTCATGTTAATTGACCATAAACTCTTCCCAATAGAGTCAGTTGATTGGTTAAAAAAGTGGCCATATATGTCTTGCGTTACAATGGGGACAAGCGAAATATTCACTGATGCCTGTGAACTTTCACAAAAGTGAAAAATATGAAAAAAGATCCATCCTTCTTTCAATCAGCTTATACTCTGTCTGAGGCTTTTTAGGAGTTGGCAACTTGCAAAGTTTGATATCTCTGCCAACTAACCTATTTCTTTCAATGGCAGTAGCTTTTCTTACCATAATATAAAAAAATTAACTTACAGTTACCTTAGCAGAGCAATGTTTCATGACATTTGATTTTCATGAATTTCAAACTTATGTCTTTTTGCAGTCTAAAAAATGCAAACATTTGATGTGAAAAAATTAGTTTAATATGGTACTTTACCTAATTTCAGCCACTGGCAAGATTGAGCTTCACATTAGTTGTTTCCTAAAACAGCAAAGTCTTAATATTTGGATCTGAATGTGAGAACAACAGATTGTGTCACATCTTTCCTATGGAGTCGTTTAAAAATTTAGGCAAAGGAAATAGAATCAGAAGTAAGTTGACATTTGCCATTTGTCATACAACATGGAGCTTAATTCCTGTTTAAAAAAAAACACTAGCAACCTCAGCTACAGTACATACACAAATACATCTTTCTCTGACGCAAAATAACTTGTACAGACATACAGTATAGCTTCGTTTCTTTTTTTAAAGATAGATATTTTCTTATTTTACAGTATTTACATTAAAAGGAGGGTTTAGTTTGGCCAGATACTTGAACATTCCATAAACTTACATGAACTTGAAGTTTTGTCATATAACCATGACACACAGTATAATGTTCTCCTTATTTGTGAGGGATGTAGTTATTAGCATTTCATGTTCTCAATAATCTTTGACAATTTTATGCATATGTAAAAAGCTTTTTTGAGTCTCAAATGAAACCACAGTCCACAAGGAACTGTTTCACCCTCCATAACAGTTATGTATAAATAATAAAAACAGCTCTGATGCTAGAAAATCGTTAATATCTATGTGTAAGTTCTCATCATAACAACATCAATAAATCATCAATACATAATTTGTTGCAATTACATGTAAAACAACTTGACTGGTTGTACCACATACATGTACATGTAGTTGACCAGACTAACATTTAGGAGACAGGTGTCAATAAATTACAATCTTTACACTACAAGGGTTATTAGTGCACTGCTTCTCTTAGTAGACCGCAATACCCAACAGTTTTGCCTTAATTTAACCAAATGGCTACATGAACATAACAGCTACATGTAGTTCCAACCCAGATACGACTACTGTTACTATTCAGTCTGTTAGGAGGAGCAATACTTAAGGCTTTCACAAGAAAGGCCATTCACTTTGAGAATGCTAAGCTGTATAGTTACTGAATCTTTCATGTATGGGGGTTTAGGTAGTCTTGGATTAATAATTACTGTTGTAATAGAAATGGTTACAACAGTATCCTCTAAATTTATCTGAGCTTTCAATTACACATTTAGAAGTTGCCACAATCAAGGAAATAGAACACAGTATTTAATTTTACATTATACGACCTGAGTGAAAAGTCAGGTCTAAAAGCATGCAACCATTTCAAGAAATGAACACTTTATGAGATGAAATCTCTCTACACCTAGACAGACAGAAAAATATATCACAGAACAATGTTCTTCTAGTATGCATGCTTTAGATTAATACAACTCACCAGTCCCTCTAACAGAATCTCAGCCCCTCCTAGTCAGTGGCAAGGAATGATGGTTCTACAAAGATTGGTTTGTTAACGAGACAATCGTGTGTTGCAAAATGATAGGGGTGGTTGGCTATAAATAACTAGTTTAATAGATTATTGAGATTTAACTTCTGAACAAGTGCAGGTTTTTTGAGGTGTCAATCCTGTACCATCTAAAAACAAAGACTGTCACAGACAATTTTGTTAATGCAATGTGTGTATTCCTATACAAATGAAGAAAGAATAAAGCGATCCAGTAATCCATTGGCATCCTTAAAATATACTGGGCTACTGTTCTGCTAAAAAAAATTGACCAGTCTCATCTGTGCTTCCTTGGGGATCTTGACCGTGAATGTGATCTTGATCTATGTTTCTTCTTTTTATGTGACTTAGATTTTGTTGAGGAATGCCTTTCTGACCTTCCCTTTGACTTAGAATTTGATGGAGATCTTGAATTGTGACGTGATCTTCTTGGTGACTTAGAATATGATCTTTTTCTTCGAGAATGTGACGTTGTCTTGTGGTTGGACAAAGAGCGTGATGTAGATCTTCGACGACTTGAACGAGAAGGTGATACAGAATATGAATGCTTCTTTCTACTTCTTTCTGGTGACTTTGATCTGTCACGTGAATAAGATCGACGTTCTTTTGATTTTGACAAGGATGGTGAAGAAGAATACCTCTTCCTCTTTGGAGATGGTGACAATGATCTTGATCGCGACACAGAACGATCCCTAGTAGAGCGAGGGGTTTCCTCAATCAGTTTTATTTTCTTTCCAAGGAACTCATGCTTGTCAAGAGTTTCTAAGGCATTTATCATGTCCTCCTTGTTTGCAAACTCGACCACTCCTTCACCAGGTCTCCTCCTGTGGGTATCTGCGAAAGTAACTTCGCCCGCAACGCTCATAAACTCCTTTAGTTCAGACCATTTGGCCCTCGCAGGGAGGTTTTCGACTCGAATTCTGTGATTAGTTCGCACAGGAGGTGGTTTGGGCTGGCGAACTCTTGCAGTATACCCTCCTGCCACAGTGTATCCCCCGACACCATTTCTTATATCTTTCGCTCGCTCAACAAGAATACTCTGACCCATAAACTCTTTGCCGTTGAGTTCTTGTACAGCTTTGTCGGCATCGCGGTAATCCTTGAAGACGGCATAAGCGTATCCCTCCTTAAAATCGATGTCGCGAATTTTGCCGATGGACTTCAGCAAAGATTCTAAATCCTTTTCAGCAGCATTGGAAGGCAGTCTTCCACAATAGATCCTACCGCTCATGCCTTCTGGTAAACGCTGCTAATTCACGAAAAAATCTTTTCAGAAAAAGTCACAAACCACGCTCCAAATCCTCCGCCATCATAAGCGCAAAACTTTTCTGCGCATAACGGTTTGGAAAGACCGCTGGATGGCGAGAGGCTACCAAGCGCACGTGTACTATGTCTTCGGTGCGCCATGTTTGCAATCAGAAGACTTACATCATCATGTTTTAGCAGGAGTTTGAGCCGTAATTATCACAGGCTGTGCAAGCCATTGAAGTACGGCTCTCATATAAACAGAAACTCGTCGTTTCATAATGGTTTGGACTTTTTTCAAGTGGGAATCGAGCGATTTATTGTAGGTGTATTGGTTGGACCCAAAACGTTCACTACATCAGCAGAGCATTTTTCTGACGAGCTCTCTTGGAAAGAAAGGTGATTGTTACATTTTGTTCAATATTTGCCTGCTCTGTTAAGTTTAAGACAACCTGTCGGCTGTCCGAAGCTCTCAGTCTTTCAATTATGTAATGTCAATTATTCCAGATTCTTCTCCAGCTCCCAGGGACACCCCTGGTGGGTAGTACAGTTTTAAACCATGCCATAGAAAATACAGCCAGTCAGAACACAGGAATAAAATAAATAAAATAAATAAATAAATAAATAACTTTATTTAAGTGTCAAATGTATTTAGCACGAATCCCGTTCAAAGCCTGAAAATTTTTTCAGGTCTCTTTTCCAGAAGTGTTGTGGCTGCATTCGCATCTATCATCATTGTATTTAGCACTATTGTGCTAATTGGGGACTCTGTAAATAAATAAACAAATATTTCAAACAGAATATAAACTATTAAGAATCCCAACTGGTTGGAGGCTGACCAGTTGACTATTTACACTATGCGGTTGAGGAGATGAACTCGGGACTACCAAGAACAATTCCAGATAGTGGTAAAGTGGAGTATTTGTACCAGGCACCTTCAGATTTCAAATCCAGTACCCTAAATCACTCGGCCACGCCTCCTCCACAGGAGAGTCATTGTATTTCCAGCTTGCTCATCGTGCTGGCCTCTGTACATTCTATGACATGATATTTAATAGTGAAGCAACACTTTCTTGTGCCACACCATGAAACATCCCACGAGTCACTTGTATTTTCTCAGTATACTCACAAGCCTTTGGGCTTGAGTGTATACAGGGAGTGTTGTATAACTAGTATCTTCATGTTTTCAGGAATAATTCTCACACAATCCCATGATTCATGTGCATCCAATTTCAAGAGTCACATTCTGTTCAGGGACAATGTAGACCTTGAGATGTCCTCTTTTTAGCTTCACGAGGCATGGTTTCAAAAAATGTCTGGAGAACGAAGAAGCCTTAACTTAAGCAACATAATACCAATGCCGCCGACAGAATCTTTTAAGCCAAAGAAATCACGGGACTTTAACTTTTAGTTTGTTGCTTCTCGGATGATTTCACTGCAATGGGTTTCCACGCCAGAATTGTAGACGTCTGTTTATTTCAAGTTGTCATAAGCCATTGTTGTGGTAAACTGACCCATGCCAACATCTGTCAGTGCGTAGGAGATTTTTAACACCTAATCATACCAATCTCATAAGGTTTTTCATCTTTTTCTCAATAAAATAAAACTGCATATAAGGATGAACATTTTTAGTTCATTTATGCACGTACTCCGATGGAATTGACTGAAAATTGGCCGGTATGTTCCGGGATACCTCCTTCGAAAATGGTGTTGGGCTTTGTTTAATTTCGCTTCTGTTTCAAAGTTATGGCCTCTTTAGTAGAAGGAAACGTCCGCATTGGAAATATCAAAGTTTAAGAGGGTTTAGAAAAGAAACCAAACCACATCTGGAAAATCGCAGACACCCTTTTTGAGGGTGATGTGTGAGAAAACATTTCTGATGTAAATCGCGCCATTCCAACAATTCACGTGCGGAAGCAAACCAGTTTAAGCGAAGCAGTGTTTCTGGGTATTTCTTTTACTATCACTGCGACAATACCTTTTTTAGGAATTTCAAAGATATGATTGTATTCTATAACTATTAAGCTTTCAGAAAAGGTATAGGTTGATAGGGTTTTCTTTCAAAGTGCAAGTGCAAGAGGTTGATTTCCAAACACTGTCAATCCACCTACTATGATACCTTAAATTGCCTTACTGTATGCCTCACAAATTCTGGGAACTGAGTTGTTAACTCTTGTAGTGATGTTGGCAGTTTTTTTTTTTTAATTTTATTTCCAGAGTTCTTGATTTTAAGGATGGCCATGTTGTTTTGTATCCGAGAAGACACTCTAAATCACAGAATTCAAATAGCCAGAGTTCAAGGTTAGTCATGGTTTTGTAGATCAGGTTACATTAAACACTGCTCCACATTGTATATATGTGACATTTTTTTTGTTCAGTTCAATGGTTGCAAGTTGTGCAGCCACTTGTGTATTACAGCAATGCTTAATATGTATGGCATATTTGTTACGTATATTTAAAATTTCTTTTCATGAGATTTGTGGAACAGGCAGGTTGCTAATGAGCATTTATTTTCCTTAGCGTAAAATTCATTACAGGGCTGTGAATAAGGGCCTTACCCCGTACCACCTGTTTTGGCTGAGCATGCTTGATGGGTCCTTGATGTTGCAGTTGAACTTGCCTATAGTTGATACAATTCACCCATAAAGTAACAAGTTTGTTATGAGTGTGACGGTCAAGGCTACAGGCGAATCAAAACTTAAAGACAGCCCTGCATATTTAGACATGTAATTTAGTACTCCTGGAGTGGACTACCAAATGTTTATGGAGTTGTGTTATATATAATGCAAGAAATCAAATAGTTAAGCAACAGAGCAATTTTTCCATCTTTACATAGCCTCATCTAAACACAAGGAGGGTTGGGAGAATTCAAAACAAATATGCAAACCTGAGATGTAGTCAAGGGTTTGTATAACTTTTGAGAATTCTCCCAGCCCCCCGAGTGTTTAGATGAAGCTATGTGAATTCGGAAAAAGTGCTCTATTGCTTTAATTTATTAAATAATTCTCAAAAATATGCGCAAATCTAAAACGTCACAACCGTGTTTACTTATATCTAAACACACTTATTGACCAATTAGAGTGTGCATAGTGGTTCAGTAATTTTATGGTAAATTTTCTTGACCATCATAGTGGCCAGTCCTCAGAAGGAGCCAGTGGAAATGGGAATGATGATGGAGATGGTGGAGACAAGAAAGATGATGGGGCTGAGGTAGTGATAGAGGACAAGGCAGGGGCTAAGGTGGACCCCTCTCTGGGGGCCCTTACCCAGGTGGTAGTACCTGATGTGTTCCCTGAGGTGCCTTTATTACCAGTTCATAGAAATCCAGTGTTTCCACGATTTGTTAAGATGATAGAGGTACATATTAAAATTTTTTCTTGTTAAACAGTAAAATAATTGAAAGGCCACGTGCAAGAACGTCCCCTAGATTTTTCGGCCATTTTTGAAAGTGCTTAAAACTAGCTGAATTTTGGCATGTGGGTTTCGTTTCACCTGAAAAACATTGCTCTGAAGTTTTTTTCGCTGGGTTGCTTTTCGTTCTCGAGAAATAACGTATGCAAAAAAGGCACACAGGTTGGAAAAACCGAGTGGTTTA